TGGAAGACCAGGAATAGACGGGATTGTCGGCATTCCCGGCAGTGGAGGTGGCAGTAATTGCAGCAGATTACGTGCAGCCTGGCATTTTTGATTGCTAGTGAGAGCTATAACTACGAGGAAGAAAACGCAAGTGTAAATGCTTCTAGCCATGATCAACTGCAGATGAACGAAGTTTTTTTCTTTTTTCCTGATAGCGAAGCAGGTTTAAATTTGATGATGGAAAACAAATGGGATTTAGGGTATTTATTTATAGATGGAGTTCATAGCCAAAAGTTGCCAACTATTTAGATGTTGGTGGAAATAGGTTCAGGTTGATTATGACTCCAATTGGTGGTTTGGAAATTAAGAATATTTGCTATTGACATTGTTGTTGTTAGTTAAACCTTCCAGCAAACAAGTGGCAGGTTCGGGCATTAGTCTTTTTTTCTGGAGTTTATGTTGTTCAACCACCACAAGACACTGAAAGCTGTCATAATTCCTAACCATTAGATAAAAAAAATAATAATAATAATAAAGATACTAAAAACTCAAACAGGGAACAACACGAGTCTTTTGAAGATCGATTATGAAACATTGAGTTCTCTATCATTGTACGAATAATGCTCAATAACTAGTCACGTTAACCTCGAGATCTAAACATCTAATTCACCTACATTCGCACCACATTAAAATTAACTAAACAGAAATTATACATCTCGATGTTCCAAGCATCCGAATGAAACATAGTTGTTTTCAAGTACAACATCTTATAGAGCAAGTTTTAGGGCATAATATGTGACTTATTTTTAAAGTGGTTCCACCTACTTTCAAAATAAGTCATACATTTGAAACTTATCTTTAAGATAGGTCACACCAAACATGCTCATAGTTTCTAAAATTTGTACTCATCCAAAACTCACCTAAGAGGGAAATTCCATTTGTACAACGCCAAATGGCCCTATACACATAGAATGCTTCCTCGCAAGATCTTTGTTAATTCAACTGATTATATATACATTGTAAAATTTGTTGACAAATCAAAGTATGAATAATTCCATGTCTGTTTGATTTAACTAAAAAACAGCGTTTTAATAGATTTTGATAAATGTGTTTGAAAATTTTATAAAAATTGTATATATCATGAAATATATAGTCGAAAATGAGTTTGAAGAAACATGGATTTAAGACAATGAGGGACAAAGAAAGACAAAAAGTATTGTCAAAAACCATAAACAACGTGGCATATCGCAGAATTAAAATACAAATAAAGATTGTACAGTAACTTTAACAATACAAAATTAGTGGGCAAGGAGCGTAAAAAATGTACATCATATGAATTTTTAAATACAATGCAGAAATCATATTGCAAAAAGGGAAAATAGGACACAAAAAATTATATACAGTTGTAACAAAAAAAAATAACAAAATTGAAGCACACCTAATTTCATAATTGGAGCCAAATATTTCATAGTTGTGTATGAAATAAATTAAAAATGGGAAAAAAAATTCATATATCAAGTCTTAAGTATGGGTTAATTCAATTTTAAGAGAACAATTATAATTTCAAAACTCAGGTAATAAATAAATAATTAAAAATATTTTATTAATTAAATACATTAATGTCACAATTATGTTCTTACATGTTACAATTTATTTATCAATCACAAATTATCAAATTGATAACAAATTATTTATCGGTCCCAAATCAAAAAATTTATATGTTAGAATTTATTTATCAGTTACAAATCACAAATTTTATATATCACAACTTATTTTACAATCGCAAATTATAAAATTAATTTATCACAAATTATTTATTAGTCACAAATTATCAAATTACTTGATCACGACTTACCAAATTCTAATCATATTTCAAATTTAGTCACTATCACACATTATTCTGGATCACATATTATTCACGGTAACAAGATAACTAATTTATTGGTCAGAAACACTCTTCGTCCCACTTGACCACCATTATCATAACTGCCGCCACAACACTACCTTAAGAGCACTACCAACATCAGCACCACTACAGCCACCACTAACAATTGCAAACACAACCAAAGAAACCCCGAGATAAAATTGTCGCAATAAAATTGTCACTTGTGACCATAGATTTCCAACATTGGCCACATGTCCCGATCTGTAGTCTGATCTCCACCTGCCTATGAAGATTATTATTTTTGTTTTATATTCAGGTCTTTACAACTTCATAGTCAAATCTCCTCACCACTTGCCTGCATGTGAACAATATTCTGCTCGATTTGCAACTTCACATTCAGATCTCAGCGCTAGCCTCCTGCCTTCGCCTAACACCACCATCCCTTCTCTTCTTCAACCTGATATGTAGCACTATGCAAAAGGTGGTGTTGTCGCTGCGAGCATCATTGTCGCACGCAACGATCATGTGTGGTGGTGCGATCTTGTAACAGGTCAAAATAGAGATGGTGTGTGGAGAGAGAGAGCTATGAAAATGAATTAGGGTTTTGATCGTTGGATGAGTGAGGTGGGTGTTTAAATTAATTTAATTTTATAATAATATTATTTATATTAAAAATTAAATTATCATTTGATTTTTGAACAAAAAATCTTTACATCTGATTTTTAAATTCCTAATATTGAAATTTAAAAAGCAAGGATGGACGTAATTTCCACGTTGAATTGCAGGACCCAATGGCCAAAGGCCCCATTATTTAATGGGTTTTGCCCAACCAAAGAAGTTGGGTCAGTGCCCACATTTTTCAATCCTGCCCGTCACGAGAAAAGGCTCGTTTGGAAATTAGGGTTAAGATCGTTTTAAATACCAGCGAGAAGAAATCACTCTGTTCGCTTACAGTAACACAGTGCATCTCATCTGTAGTATCGTGAACAGGGGAAGCTGGTGAGCAAACATGAGAGCTAAGGTTGGTGGCCCTTTACCAATTGTTTTGAATCCATTCACTTTTAGTACTTTATTTCGTTCATTTTTTAGCTTTTATTGGAAATTACTAGTTACTCGATCCTCTTAAGTGCACTTTCACAACCAGTTTCGTCTTTTAAAAAAAAAAAAAAACAAACAAACAAACAAATTGCAATGTCAATCATCGATTTCCTAGTGTTAAACGGAGTGTTTATCATCTTTTTCTTACCTTGATCCGTGATATTTTGATTTTACTTGGAATTTCGTAAGGCTGGTTTATGGTTTTATAGTTTAATTGGCTAAGAACGTTCTCGTTCTAGTTGTACTGTAGATGTTTCTTGGATTCTTTTCGCCAATCTCGTGTTGGAATTTACAAGTGCTTGCCGTTCTATAATATCACGTTAGACAATGCACGCCATTTCCTATGCTAAATTAAATATGAAGAACATATTTAGTTTTTCTTTTTTCTTTTTTCTTTTTTTGCTTTCCCTGCTCTTTAAGTTTTTCTAGGGAACAGTTATATAATTTTCTAGTTTGCTTCCTTCTTCCTTTTTTTTAATTCAATTTTGGTTTTTCCAATTCAAACACTATATAGTTTGTCATTTTGCTTTGTTGTTTATGAATAAATCTAATTATTGGGTGTTCCTAGCGAATCGACAAATATATTTGATGCCCATATACTCAGTATTGTAGCAAATCAACATGCGTATTTGGGTACGAATAAGATTCTACATAATTTTAGTGAATCGATATCAAAGTATTCAAGGTTATTCAGGCAAAGAATTTTTGAAGGATAAGATTCACTCTAAAAAGCAATATTTATAGTGGTCTATTTTTCCCTTACTTATTTTGGGAACTCTACTTTAGGCACTTATTGATTTTTTTCATTAATATTTTTAATTTTTGGGAGAGAACTATGATGAGAACTTCCATCAATAATC